GAAGAGGCCTGGTTAAATTGTTGCTGCGCTAGTTACTCATCAGGTTGTTGCTAGGTAACCAAAGAGCGAGTGAGTTAGTTGCTGCCACCCAAAAAGCAGGGCGGTTCTTTCTGACATTTTCTATTGATAATGATCAAATGACTGTCACGATATGTTGATTTATTACCCAGATTGCTACATGGTTAAAATAAATAAACAAACAAATAAATAAAAAAGGAAGGTCAGAGTCCTGGGGAACGCTAGGACACTGAAAAGACAACAAATAAACTAACAGAGTGAAAGACTAAAAACAAATGGAAAACTATTAACATGGCCATTCATGATGAAAAGAGAGTGTTACGATATGGAAAACATCCCTGAACAGAGCCAACCGCACAGAAAATACAACATAGAAAGATCAAGGGTAATCTAAAAATAATAATAGGCAACATCAGAAATTAATGCAAACCAACTAAAAGATATGAAATGAATGGGTATTAAGGAATATTGAGAGAAGATTTCAACCATCATCTTAAATAATTATGATTGCTCTAAAAAAATTTTTTTGGAAGAATGACGAATATATATATATATATATATATATATATATATATATATATATATATATATATATATATATATATTTTTTTTTTTTTTTTTTTTGAAAAACAGAGTGAGGAGGAATTTGCAAACTGCAAAGATAGCATGCATGGCAGATAAATAAAAGCTAAAGAAAAACATGATGCCACCACCGTGGCATCATGCTACCACGGTGGTGGCAGCATGATGCCGCCACCACCGTGCTTCACTGTGGGGACGATGTGTTCAGGGTTATGTTCAACATTAGATTTCATCCCAAAATGGGATTTTTATTGAACTTTCTTCTGCAATTTTGCTGTGGAGCTCCTCAGATGCTAACCAGCTGCACTAACAAACTCTGAACAGCTGAATTTACACTGAGATTAAATTACACACAGGATTATTCTATATAATTAACAGGTGAATTCTGAAGGCATTTGCACTGGATTTTATTTAGGGGTAAAAGAGTATATGTGTAGTCTTTCTGTGCATTCATGCCAGTGTTTTCAGATTTTTTTTTCTAACATTTTGTATTTTCTTTTCCTTTCAGAACTATTCACTACTTTGAACTGAACTATCAGACAAAATACAATAACATAAGACATATAGTGGAAACGTTCATCCATTTGCAAGGTGTTGCTTAGTGACAATTTCCCATGGTTTCAAGGCCCAGTATACACCTAATTTTGCATTAATTTCTACGCTGTCGGCTGCGTGTGAACAATAGCAGCATAATTGATACTGCAGAGCTGAACTACTTGTCCGTTATAAAACTCATACAGAGTTGTCATACTGCTTCTCCACCTGCTCCTCCATCATCACCTCATTATCTTTCTGCAGAACTCCACAGAGCGTCCATGTTTGGACCAACACAGACCTTTATGAGGCTGCCAGTGTACCCTGACCAAACACACACACACAGGCCTGCTTCTTTGATTTTCCTTTCATATGCACTGACCTGCTTTGTGTCTCCTGCTGACAGGTCTACCTGATCTGTTCCCCATCTCATCCCTGTTCAGCTCCCAGCTCCACACCTGCTGGTCTGAGAGCAGCAGATCGACGGATCAGATAAGCCACATGTCCACCGCTGTATATAAGAGCGGCGCATTCAAGCCCCAGAGACAGACGGATAAGTTATCTACTGTAATAATATTCTGTTAAGAGCTGGTTTTTAAATATGTGTAAGGGACTTTCCTACCTGCCTTCCTCCTGCTTGGAGAAGTAAGTGTTTTTCTAGGAAACCAAGCGATATATGTTGCTGGGATATGAAGTGTTTAAAATGTAATTTCATGCGTTTCAGGGCAAAAGGGATGCGAGTGAAGCTGAGCCACCTGGCTGAGATCCACCACAAGCAAAAGTGACTAAGTGAAGTTGGTTTTAGGTTAAATATGTGGTTATAAAGATGCATTTTTAAATGAATTTTTGCCTAATTTTCAGGGTACAAGATGGAAAAATCCTGCAGGATCTGGAAACCCTGCTGGGCAGCAAAAGTAGGACATTTCATTTCTGTTTGGAATTCTGTTCATAAAAATCTTTTTAAATTACTTTTGGTTGAAAGACACTGACTGAGAAAATTTCTCAGAGTCTTTAATTTTATTCCTATACAAACTTAATAACTATATGGCTGACATGCCAATATAAATATGCTGTAAGATGACATTTAATTAAAACGTTATTGCAAGAAAAAAAAAACTTTTTAAAAGAAGCATATAAATTATTATTCTTGTAGATTTATGTTAAAACTGAGAAATTATGCTCATTGAACTTAAAATGGCTCATATATGGAAAATTAGAATAAAGTATATTTAAATGTTATGATTAAATGTTATGAGTGAGTGTGAGGTGGTGGTAGTGAGTTAGATATTACTTATATAATATCTAACTCTGCAGTTCTATCTATAGTTGTTTCTGCTCTAGAAATTAGAAACAACTAGTTACATTTAAGCAGCATTTTTATTATTTAGACTATTAAAAATTTGCTTACATAACTTTAACATTGTTATTGCATCCAGTTAGCTGCATATACTCTAGAAGTATTTATGTATTAAAGATTTTTCAGATTAAAAGTTCAGTATGATTGTGCGTGTTGCATTTATCAGTTTATTAGAGGGTTTTTTTCAACTCTGATTTTAGGTTTGAACACTAATTTATATACTCAGGCAAATAACTAGGTGTTTATGTTTAATAAGAGTCTCAAATGTCAGACCATCCACCATTGCTGGCAGCTGTGATAGAGCTTAAACTAAATTAGGTCTTTGTTATAATTTCAGAAATTAATTTTAAAAAAAAAACTGTTTTACAACTAAATTTACAATCAGCGGCAATTTCTTATTTTAAAAAAAATATAACTGAAGCATCTTTTTTTTAAACCTGTACTTTAATGTTTTAAATTTATAGGTTTACAAGAGCTGTTGTGTGTATTTTTAATTCTGGGAGTCTGTTTTTGTCTTATAGTGAGAACAATTATCTCCAGAAATATATATTTTTTATGTTTTTAATTAATTACCATAAATATTTTTGAAATACCAAATAGAGTAGTTTTTATGATATTTTTGTTGGATTTTGTTTAATTATAAACCTAATATTCAGAGATTTATTTTCTTTGCAAACGACGTGTAAGAAACTCACCTAATAATTACTAACAAAAACAAACGGACTGCAGAAAAGGAAATCGTAACTATGTCTTCACAGGTAATTTTGCTGTTAAAAATTGTACTGTGGAGAGTAAAATTGGCACATTTGTGAATTTACTCTCAATAAACTGGAAAGAAAAAAAAAGATGTTTGAGGATTAGAGAAAGGACTCAAAGAAGCAAAGGTGTAATTAAGTCAGGCCATGCAATTTGTAGCATATCGGTAATGAAGGATGACACTTTATGATTTTTAACTCAACTTAAAATAACGTTTACAACGTAAATTAACTTTAGTTTTGGAATATAATTAGACAATTGCACAGTTTGAGTCACACAATATTTAAAACATTTTATATTTTACACCATAAACATACCTTCTGTCTCTGTCAAGTGAGCCGCTAATGACAAGATACATTTTTAAGCTCCGTTACAATGTCTTTTGATTGTTGCCGTTACGCTGCGTTAACACTAACAGTTAAACCGGAAATCGTCCCTTCAAAATAAAAGCACCAGGAAGTTCGTCACCATTAAAGCTAATTAAGGGTATTAGTCATGAGTATATTTCATTTGTATATTGTAGTCAATCTTTAATCCGCTTACTTTCCAGATGCTGCAAAAATGTTTTTATATTTAAACTTGTTTATTCTGTATGAATATCAGAGTCGGTAACTGGTTACATTTACTCAGCTACACTTGAGCAAATGTTTGGAAAAAATTTACTTTTAGGAGTATTTTTTACTACACTGTGGTTTTTAATTTTACTGAGTTATTTTATTATAAAGGAACACTACTCTTACTTGAGCAAAAATTTCTGGACTCTACCCACTTCACTGAATGGAGAACAAGCTTGTTTTAATTTTAAATTGACCAGACACACATGGAGGTTTTTTAATGAAATTTCCATAAGTTTTATATTAAAAGAAGTTTATTTGGAAATATATATATATATATATATATATATATATATATATATATATATATATATATATATATACGATTTCTTTTGCTATTTAAATATCAAATTTTCCAAAAT